ATTCACGAAGCCATACTCTAAGGGGGTATAAAGAAACGACTGACCGTTGAATGGGTCTCCACTCTCACCCACCGCTCTTTTGTATAGTGGATGGTCGTTAGTCTAATAGGTTTGATAGGACATAACCTCTTAAAGTATGATACTATAAAGTAACAAAACCTTTTATTAATCTCAACTCTAGTTAATTTAGGACAAAATGTGAAGTGTATGTTAATCCATGAAAACATAAATCATTCTTTATATGTCGTTAGTGGAGCGTGCGTAGTTAACTAACACACTAATTTGGGACTAAAGTGAGTGATGGACAGATCAAAAATTATCATTATTGATGGAGCGTGTGTGGTTACCAGCACGCCAACTTGAGATGATAAATTACGTTTACCGGTGAAACCCTAGATGTAGGTATCGATGCACATGGGTTAGTTTTTGGGTAAAACCAAACCAAACCATAGAAAGTCGGTTTTTTCTATTTCAAAATCCATATGTGTTCGGTTTCTACATGGGTCGGTTATTCGGTTTGGGTTTATTCACGGTTTTTTGATTTTTTGGATTTTTCAGGTTCAAACCTATTGAAAGTACATTGCTACAAAATGGTATCGTACCCAATTTAAATATACTAAGATAACTACGCAAGGGTAAGAAGGATAAGAGTACTAAAATAACTTCAATTTTGTCTCGAAACATAACAGAAATCAAACGTAGTAACATCGTTCATATTTCTTAAACATAAAATATATATAATAAATATAAATAATATTTAAAATATAATAAATATTAAATAATATATTATATTGGTCGGTTTTGTTGGTCTTTTCAGCTTTACTGGGTAAGTTTATAATGCAAAACCGAACCGAACCGCTAATATCGATTTTTATAAAAATTCAAACTCACTCCGTCAGTGTTTGTCCGATTCGGTTTCAACTTTGTTGTTTTTTCAGTTTCTGGTTTGGTTTTTGTTCATCCGTAGACGTAGGATTGGATTTTAAAAAACTTTTATGACAAAAAAAATTAAGGACTAAACTAGGACATGACATTAGTTTTATGAATGTTTTTATCTTAAAAAAAATAACAATAGCATGAAATGTAATTTGTCTCGATTAAAAATTTAAGAGTTTGATAACATATTAACACTAAAACAAAATTGAAACTTAAGTCCAACAATAAATTGTGATTATGATAGAAGAAATTGATTCTTTATATTTTGATCATTACTATGTGACATTCGTCACGTAGGGGCAACGTTTTTTCTGGTCGTTATTCACAAGAGAATTTAGATTCTGAAAGTTAATAATTAATAAATTTAATAAATTAATTAATAATTTCATCGATGCCTGCGGTCCCAAGCCAAGACCTCTGAATTAACGGACAAATTTGAGCTCTAACAATATTATTGTATTATTATTATTATATTTACTTTTGCTAACCATATTATATTATTATTGGAAAAGTTTTTTTTTCCTTTTCTTTATATTGGATCCCTAAAGTTTTACATAAATCCATTTTGACCCCTGGAGTTTAAGCATGTTTGCTGACAACAACTTTCTAGAATAATATGACCATTCTTGTTGACTATTTTAGTTTCTTTCGTTGAAATAACCAATAACCTCAAACGAATTATTGCCTTTAAAGTTGATCAAACGAGAAAGTGGTGAAATGCTGGGCATAATCATCATTCTAGAATTTTGATTGAGTTAATATTGTTTTAAACCACCAACTATTATTTAGTTCCTTAATTTTAATTTTTAATTTTTATAATTTTGTACTTTTAAAGTTTCGTGTTTTTTTAAGTTATCTACTAAAATTAATACAATCATGTTGTATTCCATAATACTATTTTTATGTATTCCTCACATGGTCGGTCCTGAGGAATTAAATATCCTCAAAGACCCCAAACGAATAAGAAAAAAGGACCCTTGTTATTATTTTAAATCAACGAATCAAAGTGTCCCAAAAATCCAGATAATAAAAAACCGAAGGATGTGCACGATCACGCCTTTGCCTTGCCACGGTACCCAGAAGTACCTGAAACAAGACTAAAACTGTAACCCAATGCTTAGTGAGTTCCCCCAAAGTACCACCACATAACATAACAAACAACAACATGCATACAAAGCCTTCAACATGACCGGACCGCCTCACCGGGTCTTCAGCATATTAGGACCGCTCTTTAGGCCTTCGGCCTAACTGGACCGCCTTGTAGGCCTTCAGTCTATCCAGATCGCCCTGGGTGTCTTGGCCCTCAGTATCAGCTGGTCCGCCTCAACCCCAATAAACATAACATATCAATACATAACATTATCAATCAATAACAACAAACACATGTAGTCCTACAGATCTATCAGTCTAGTCACATAACCAGTAACCACATGTCACCGCATAACAACATACAATTCAAAATATATCTAATCTAATGGGCCGACCTTGGTGCCTTCCACCCATAAGTACAGTGACGAAAACTCACCTCTCAGTCCGAATACATGCTGAACGAATCTCTGCTCCGAAAACCGGATCTACCCGACTCCTAATAATCAAAACATTCCCATACTAAATTAATATCAATTTCCCAAAATACCCATGGTCAAAATCAGTCAAAATCAACAAACTCAGCCCTCGTACGCGGGGCGTACTACGGATGTACGCGAGGCATCCTCACTGTCCAAGGAGTTGGGGCTCAAACTGCGTACGCGCAACATACCAATTGGTACGCCTAGCGTACGCAACTGGTTCTCCACTTAATGAGTTAAGAGCTTAATACTTGAGCTATTACGACCAAATTGCAGATCCAAGTCCCAAATATCATCCTTAACCATAAAGTTTCCAACTTTATGGCCTTGCAATGCCAATAAGTGCTAAAAAAAAAAACCCCCCACCCTTTTAACCCATTAAGACAAACAAACACATGCATGGAGAATGATTAAGAGCTAAAACCCTTTTTTATGCTTCTAAACCCCTCAAAACAACTGAAAGGACCACTAGAATGAAAACATACCATACTCCAAAAAGGTCAATACTTGGGACAAAATGCTCATGAATCAAGAACTTGGCAAGATCTAAGGAAATACAAGCCAAGTCTGAAACTTTATACCTCTTAGAGGTTGCTAGAGAGGTGAAGATCCCAGATCCAAAGCTTCTTCAAGTTTCCAAGGTGGTTCTACTTCCTTCTTTCTCCTTCAAGATCACCAAACACACACACAAGCGTCAAGAATGCTCAAACAAGTGGCTAGGGTTTGCTAAAATCGAATGGAGGTGTTGGAGGCTGATGAGAGATGAGGTTGGAAGCCAAAAAGATGTTTAAATAGGGTCCAAACCCTAAATTTTAGTGTTTGAAACCCTCGCACGTGCACCCAGCATATGTGATGTACGGCCACCGTACTAGACTCGCACATGTATGCCCATCGTACACAACGTACGCCCGATGTACTAACATTCGGCCTGAAATTACAAAAAGGCCATTATGGGCCATTTTGCAAGCTTTCTCATACACAAGGGCTAAATACCATAAAACTTCATACTTAAGGGTTAAATTTGAAAATACCTCATCGCAGGGATGCTACAAATTACAATTTTATATTCTCAAGTTATGTTCCTAAATATGATGTTTTTTAATTTTTTTCAATTTTTTTATCCAGAAAACACTAATAACAGCCTTACCTGTCCATTATGGCAAAGTTCTTTCAAATTATGGCAATGTTTTTTCAAGAAAGAAATAAAAAAACAGATGGGTTAGTGACCATCGGATTATGTCATGTGTGACATGATACCACATCTAATAGCATTGTACTTTATAAAAAATTAATTTTTAATAATTTTTCCATAAGAAAGTACATTGTTTTGTTGTGTGTGACTAATTTTCCCCTGAAATTCTACATCTTTTACAGAGAAAATGAAAAAAAAAAAATACTTCAAAACTATGCAATGAATAACATTGTACTTTCAGAAATATTGAGTTTTTTCTGTTTTGCCCCTACTCTAAAAGCTACTTTTATAAATTTTATGGAAATATCCACTTACTTCCTATAAATTTTCTAATGAAGATATTTACTATTTTATATTAGTTTATAATTGAATACTTTTTTTTAATTTATTGTTTTAATCGTCAACTCATGTTTTATTTTATGATATTAATGTTTTTATGTTACTTTATCTTATTCTTTTTATTGTGTCGGTTTTTTATAACTTTATATGTATTTTTTTATGTTCCCCAACATTTAATGCAGGTCATAATCTAGTAAGTTATTATGTAATAAAAAACTACCACTATTAAATATAATATTTATATTTATATCTTATATTTGTATTGTCTGTTTTATACTATTGATTTAAACAAATTAATATTTGTGTCTAGTTTAAGAAATGTAAATTAATTTAAATACATAAATTTAATATTTTATAATTTTTATTTTGTTCCAAATTGAATTTTTCTTAATTACGTTCCTTAATTTAAGTCTTCAAACTTTTGGCAACTATTAATGATTTATTTATGCATAATTAATTTGTACAAAAAGCTTTGTAATTTATACCTCTTAAAATTCAAGATGTGACTAATATGCTTTATAATATAGTATAATATATATATATAATATATTATATTAATATATATATATATATATATATATATATATATAAAGAGAGAGAGAGATAGGTTCAGGTGTTTAATGTATCAATTGTGTTATTGTATGCATAAATATGGGTCAATCAAAATTTAAAATAAAAATAAATAATTAAATAAATCAATGAGGGTTATTTAGTAATTTGATAAATGAATTCTATAAATAGTCCCTTTATTTTAAGGATCCGTTTATTATTAACCCTATTAAAATCCACCTACACCGTAATAGGATCACACTGGTGAACTAAATCCTAAATCCGCCTCTTTCTTCCTCTCTGCGTCGTAGGTCACTTTCCTCATTGTCTCCATCACCGATTAATCGTTCTCCTCGCACTCTTACTCTGCTTCTTCTTTCGCCGCCTATACCATTTACAGTTTCTGATGAAAATCAATGGCAGTGGCTCAATCTTCGTCGATCAATGAAGCATACTCGCCTCACCCCTATCTTTACGCCGCCACCACTCAAGCTGCATCTCCCGCAGTCTTTTCCCCCCAAACAAACCCTAGAATTCCCCCTCCGAACCCCCAAACTCTCCCACCGATCGACATTTCTCCGCCACGTTGCCACCGTCACCGAGGGGAAGGTTGTAGAGCTAGGCGATGAAATTTCAAACCTAACCCTTGCAGATGCATAAAAGCTAGTTGAGTACCTCCAAGACAAGCTTGGAGTCACCGCCACCTCCTTTGCTCCTGCTGCGGTTGTTGCCGCACCTGGCGCTGGAGCTGAAGCACCTGCTGCCGTGGAGGAGAAGACGGAGTTCGATGTTGTGATTGATGAGGTTCCTAGTAACGCGAGGATTGCGATGATTAAAGCCGTTAGAGCTTTGACGAGTCTGGCGCTTAAGGAGGACAAAGAGCTTATTGAAGGACTTCCGAAGAAATTCAAGGCAGGAATATCGAGAGATGAAGCAAAAGAGGCTAAGAAACAACTTGAAGGAGCTGGCGCAAAAATTTCGATTGTTTAGATCACGAATTTGTGGTAACTTTTTCTTTTTCATGTTTGCCTAATGCAATGTGTTATTAGTTCTTCAGTTTTGTAGTTGAAATTTATCATATTACGATTTCATGCCTTAATTTACTCTCGATACTATCTTCATTTCTCTGTTAAAACCGATGATGTTAAATATTAATACCTCTTGTAACTGATTTATCCGAAGCTTTTGCTATATGTTCTTACGATTCTCCAAAGTATCTATTATGATGAACATTACGAGATAGCAATATATATATATATATATATATATATATATATATATATATATATATATATATAGATATATATATCTCCGAAGCTATGGTTGCTTCATTTGACAGAAAAGAGTAGGAAGAACAATGGTGATGATCTCTTCTTTGATTGGGTATGTTTCTTTTGATTGGGTTTTACAAGTTAAATAGATAAAAAAATCAATTATTTGGATGATCTTATTGTATATTTGTGAATTTTGATAGATATGGAGTACATTGTGATCTAAGGGAAAGAAAACATAAACGTGTGGTACAATTCTTGAGATTGACATGAAGACGATAAAAAGAATCATGAATTCCAATTCTGTTGGAATGGAATCATGAATTCCAATTCTGTTGGAATCTAAACTACAATTTGGTTTTGTTTTGACAGAAGTTGATGCTTGAAGAACGAACCGCAAATTTCAAAGTGATTCTAAGCATTCTCAGAGAATATTATTCTTACATGATTTGATTCATGGCAGTTATTTTCTTAAATGTCTAATTTCATGGATGATCAAGGAAAGAGTTATTCTTCTGATAGAATAATCTACAATAGAATGATAGAAGTATATGTAATAATATATTCTGCTAGAATATTCAGGTTGAATAATATACATATTTTTATTTGTTATTAGTGAGTATTTCATTGTTATAGAATATTATATAAAGTTTTTACTTTTTTAAGAATGTAATGAAATATTTGAAGTTGTATCCAAAAATGTGTTATTAGTCGGTGTTGGCATTCTCATAGAATATCATTCTAACAGAAATATGTATCCTGAAATTCGTAAAGAATATGATTTTAACAGAATAAAATCGGGTTTAATTATAAAAATTACGTTATAATTAAAATTAAAGTAATTAAAAAAATTAGAATTTTAAAATCAAGAGAGTTAATTATCCCAAAAAATATGGAATTTTCCTTTTTTAAATTTATCTCAATTGTCTAAAATACCCTTAGAATGATATTAAATGGTATTTTTCAATTATCTTTAATTTAATAATATATATTAATCACTTTCTTAAATTAAGTAAAATGATTGGTCCACATTTATGCATACAATAACATAATAATTAGTTTAAATAGAATAACCTAAGCCTATATATATATATATATATATATATATATATATATATATATATATTATATATGAAAAAATATCATAAATGGTCGTTGTGGTTTCCTTAGATCTGAAGTTTAGTCCCCATGGTTTAAAAACATCATAGATGGTCTCTGTGCTTTCAAAACTTTTGACGATTGATCCTTATTGCTAACTCCGTTAAGTTTTGTCCGTTAACTGAAGGACATTTTCATCATTTCACTCCCATAGAGACCATTTATGATGATTTCTCGTATTTTAAAAAAATAATAATATGCAAAGAGGGTCTCTCTCTCTCTCTCTCTCTCTCTCTCTCTCTCCTTGAAGAAAATCAAACAAACGCACTCTCTTAAAATTAAACCCTCTGCATATCCATCATCTTTGACATGAAAAGAAATTAGGGTTCTTGAACCCATTGCAAATCCCCAGAAAAAAAACCCCAAACACCATTTCGAATCGATCACCTGTGTTGATGGGTGTAACACAATTATACATTCAACAGGTGATGTTGGTTGTGATGAACCCCCTAAATCACCATGACCACCATCGCCTTCAGGAGAAGACACGCTATGATTAGTGTTTCCATCATAGGTCTTTTGAAAGTCCATATCTGCTTTCAAATCGACTTTTCCAGCACTCAAAACCTCGTCTATAATCATGGTCGGAGAAAGTATCCTCCTGGCGCGAAGTATTAACACATAGCCGATTCTTCATACCATATCTATTTATGCATTTTATCACATGTTTATTCCATTCTTTATTTTCTTCTGTATTACAAATTAGAATAGATTTAGAATCCCTAAATTGTTGTAACAAATCCTAATTCCCAGGATCTCTCCTTGTATTGAGATGGTGGAAGAAGAAGCGTATGAAGAAATGGAAGTTGATGTACAAGATGAGATTTTGAATGAAGACCCAAATGAGATTCAACCCAATGATGTTATTTTGGAGAAAAGTTTGAATCTTGAAGATGGGTCGAGTGAAATAGGTTCACTTTCTGTGAGCAAATCAGAAATGACTGTGAATGATCTTGAAGATGGGTCGAGTGAAATAGCTTCACTTTCTGTGAGCAAATCAGAAATGGCTGTGAATGATCTTGAAATCGAGTCTTGTTTAGCAGATACTACTGCTGAATCAGAAACTTTGACCACTTCGTTGACCAGATCAGTCAACCCAATCTATATGATTGGTTTTTCCATGGTGATAGTTGCCATGGCAACTATTTTTTACTTGATTAAAAGGAAATCTAATAGTACAACTGCCATTGCACGTGCTACTAAGCTGATGCAGATAATCATAGAGAATTACAAGAAGAAAGTTTGTGTTCTTCAGAGTCTATCATTCAAAAGGGTTACAAGAAGATGAGATAGGTGGCCAAAGAGGGAGATGAAGTGTCATACCCCCAAACCAGAATGGCGGAAACATTCGAGGGCGGAGGACGTCATGTACAGTATCATAACAATGCACAATAGTAAAACAAGCAACAGCATCATCCATTGCATTAATAATATAGTTAATACAACTGTGTTCTGAATGTATTTGTAAGACACCAAAAAAATATATATATCAAAATATAAGACGAGTCTTGAACATGCTCCGTCTTCTCAAAACCTGGTCCAGTGTACCTGTCTACTGGTGACCTCAGAATACAAGTTATTTTGAAAGAGTATATCAATATTAAAGCTGGTGAGTTCATAAGTATTTTAGTGTTAAATGTTTGCATAAGTTTGATGAAAATGTTTGTAAGTGTTTTGATGTAAATGTTTGTATACTTCCTAGAAAATCCTATATTTTCTACTAAAAATGGAAAGTAGTCTTCTACCAAGACCCGACTGTTTTGTATGTTTGTTCTTCTGTAAAAATGAGTGTTTTCCCAAGTATATGACTATCATTACCAGAAAATAGTTTACATTACCTTTTATATGAGAAGATCACTATATGAATGTAATGGGAAAATGAAAGTGTACAGTAATGTTGTATAAAGTAACTACTGAAGCACTAACTACCTTAAAACCTATTTGTTAATTAAGGTTAAAATGTGATGTGGTTATAACAATACTGATTGACGAGTGTTTAACACGACGACCTGTTGGCGTCGAAATTGATGTGACATTTGTCACCCCTTGGCTTGTCTGCCGGACTGTAGCTAACAGTTGGGATGTGGGGTTGTCAGTCCCGTATAGCTCTATACACACAATGCCCGCTCTCCCTCCAGCAAACTCTGGTTACAAAACGCGGCATAACAAGTATATTGATATGTCGTGAAGTAGTGGTTTCACATTAATGTTATCTTGTTCTTGAAAAAGTATGTATGTTCCTTTCTGTTCCTGTTATTGTATGTTCCTTTATGTTCTTGTTTTTGTATGTTCCTTTCTGTTCTAGTTATAGTATGTTTCTTCCTGTTCTAGTTATAGTATGTTTGAACTGACTCATGTAAGTTTCATTGTTCTAGAAGTAGTAAGTATTAATCCTCTAAACTATACCTATTATAGTTTACTAGTATGATTGTTTGACTGATACTGATGTAAAGAAAAGACTCAATTACTCACCAAGCAACTAAGTTAAGAATGAACCTAAAAATGGTTTAATATCCACTATGTATTAATAAGTATACTATGATTTAACCGACATTCGGACTAGTGATCCTACCCCGAGCCCACAACCAAACAAGGAACAAGATTCAAGGTATCTAGCAATAGTCCTAAGTCTATTAAAGCATACTTATACGTAAATAGAAAGACGGATATGATTTGATATTAAATAAGTTTATAAAAGCTTTAAAAGAGTTTTCAACAAGTTTGAGTATAAGAAATCCTTTTGAATGTAGTTTTCAAATATAAATGATTTAATACAATCTTATTGTGTTATACTTGTATTCCCCCTGAAAGCATGTAAAAAGCATTTAAAAGTATATTTGTAGGGGTATGAACTCACCTGTAGTGAGTGATTCGAATGAAAGATCGATATAGGATGCTAAGTATGCCAAGTGAAGTCTCGAGCACAAACGGATCCTATTAAGCATATAACGACACACATATGTATACAATTAGTGTATATAACAACTAATCATGTGAGGGAACAACCTTAGGTACTAGGAAACACTTGAAATGAAGTGTTACAATCACATATGATCGATTGAATGGAGTTCACGGTGTCACACCCCCAAACCAGACGACTGAAACGTCCGGGGGTGGAGGACTTCATTTGTAGTATCACAACACATGCATCATAGTAATCAAAGTACAAACAACCATTGTATTCTAAAAGTATAAGTATTTACATGTGTTCAATCATTGTATATTGAAACCAAAATAATTATACAAAAGAAGAATATATGACTCAAAATATCTCCATCTTCTCAAAAAGCTCGGGGAGTGCCTGTTTATTATTTCCCTGAGAATACAAGTAATTTGAAAAGAGAGTATCAACATAAAGTTGAGTGAGTGCATAAGTGTTTATGTTTGAAAGGATGTCTCTGTATCTTGCATATGTAAACTGTTCCAGAAAATCCTATATTTTCTGTTGTATATGAAAAGTAGTTTTATTCCCATAAAACCGTTCTATTTGTAAATCTATGTTTTGTATTTGTATTCCTTTATGTAAATCTTGTAACTGAGAGTGTGTCTGGTTTCACCAGC